CCGTTTTTTTAGTGCGAATAAATGATATGAACCTACTGAGGCTTGAACAGAAGCGGTTGGCGGGCCTTCCCGCTCCCTTCACCACGTCCACCACATTTTAAGTAAGGTTCACAAGGGAAGGTCCTACCCCACAAGGCAGAAGGACGAACAAAAGTGCAAATTATACATTTTCACTTCCTCATCCTTTCTACGCTAGGTTGGCAGCCGGTTGGCGCTCTATTGTTTATTTAAACATGTTTTTGCGAAATTGAAGTTGCTTTTTCCCTCGTTATAATTTGAAGACATAGTGGAGGTTTTTACACGAATGAAATAAAAATGAAAAAAAAACATTCATTCATTTACACAGAAAACTATGTTGTCAATATCATCAATAATTGTTCAAATTGTGTTAAGTAATAATCATAACTAATTAAAGTCTGTTTTTTTTTTTTAAAGATAAAAGTCAAAATGACATTATGTTGGCAATACATTGTAAAATTGTCAATGCTTTCAATTTTTTTATGTAGAAAAGGCTTGTGTTGCCAACATAGTTACTAAATTTTTAACTTGGGGAATTATCTTAAAAAAAAAAAAACAGATTTTAGTTTTTTTTTTCATACATTGTCACTCGTATTGGCATTTTATGTAACTAATTTGAATAACATTAAATCTTCATAATATGTACGTTACAAAGAATATAATAACAACAAAGTACTTCAAGTAGTTCAGCCCCAAAAGTATCACAGATTTTGTTCCTGTATTTTTTGCGACTAATGATGAATAAGGCATTTGATAACGTCAACGAGTTTTGAAAAGTGTCACTTTAAATTTCAAAATTAGAAAAAAATAACATATGTTTAAATTAACAATATAGTGCCAACTGGCTGCCAACCCATAGCAGAAAGGACGAGGAAGTGAAAATGTATAATTTCCACTTTTTTTCGTCCTTCTAACTTGTGAGGTAGGACCTTCCCTTGCGAACCTTACTTAAAACTTGGCAGACATGGTGAAGGGAGAGGGAAGGCCCGCCAACCGCTCCTGTTCAGGCCTCAGAAGGTCCATATTAATTATTCGCACGAAAAAACGGCCTTCTAACAGATGACTGAGGCTTTTGTGTCACGAGCTCTCGTAGTATAGGAAATGCCACTTTCCTACTTTTTGTAGATGATTTAAAATTGTTTTTGAAGTTTGAAGATATTACAAACTGTCTTAAGATTCAGCAAGATCTTGATTTTTCATATCTCACACTTAGGTGGCAATAGCACCCAGCTGTTTCTTTGTTTGCCTATTTTTTGGTCTTGCAATGGATTATTTCCCAAAAATGAAAAAATAACCATGCTAAAAATTGAAAAGCCCCATAAATATTTAGATAATGGCACATCAGAATTGGTTCAAATTTGGCATAAACATTCTTTGATCGATTACCTAAAGATTTATGAAGTTATTTCTTCAATTTCTAGCGTGTTGATTTTTATTTCTGGGAGGTTACCCATCGCGAGACCTTTTACAAAAGATAGATAACTAGAGAAACAGAAGGATGCTATCACTGATCTAAAAAATAAATGGATAAACAATCGTACAGCTCGATTGGCTAAACTTGTGCAAAAATTTCGGGTCAATATTCTATGAACAGTTGTGCAACGGAACAGCCGAACGCCTGCGCAGTGTGTTATTTTTCGAACAAATTTTGAAATTCCTTCGTTTTCATTGGCCAGAATTTGTGCACGCACAATACATGTATCTACTGCGCACGCTCACAGCTGTCCCAGTCAGTTGTTTTTGTTTACATTATGACCTCGTCAATTAGCAGCATTAGAAGCGTTCTCTGTTTATCCATTTATTTTTGAGATCAGTGGGTGTTATTGCCACCTCAACTTTTATATCTTTACTAGCTAATGACCCGCTGCGTTGCCAGCACAATACATTCAAATTTTGTTGTTGATTTTCTATTTAATTTTTTTTTTTAAATCCGATATCATAGTTGCTTAAGCACTCCAGAGCTGCTCTAGAGCGCCCCGAGCTGTTTATAGGCGTTCCAGTGTATCAGAGTTTTACGCAACCGAACTTTTTTTTTCAGGATAAAAAATAGCCTATATCTCTCTCCGCTATAGCCGATTCGATTGACCGGATTAGATCGATCTGGTTCAATTTAAGTGAACCACACTGTGTTCGATTCAAGCTGGATCAGTGCACCCTCATCAACAAAAAAATGATCTAGATCAGAAGAAGTTCACTTAAATTGAACCCAAATCGATCTAATCTGGGTCAATCGAATTCACCTTATATAGAGATACGTGGTATTAATTCAATATCGGTCCAGCCGTTCTTGAATTCAAAAAATATTAAAGTTACATCGGTTGAATGCAAGCCTAAATAAATGGAATATGGCAACATTGTTTCATGCTGTCAAAAAAAGTTGGGTTATGTTGTTATGTAATGTGAATGAGTTTGTTTACAATTAAATTAATAATTAATTCAAAATTAATTTCTTTTCCCAAGATGCGTAACCTATCCACAAACCTTCCTTGGGATGGCCATAACAACCTACCAAAGTTTCATCGTAATCGGATAAGTGGTTTTGGAGCGCATATCCGGATACCCTGTGAACTTTGATTTTTATACAGGGTGTATATTTTAAGTGATACCACTATTGCTATATCCGAAACGGTAAGAGCTACAAGGTCGGTTAAATTAGAAAAAAGTTGCCTTTTTTGATGCCCATTCAAGATTTGCTTACAGTGTTGTCAAATTCCTTTTAGTTTATGAAATACAGGATGATTTCCAAAAAACGGTCAAAATAATTTCATCAATTATTTCGAAAACTATTGATATTCGAGACACCATTTCAATTTGAAAGTTTTATAATTTTTTTCGCTCTACAACATGGCACCTTCAAATTTCAAATCCGACGTTTCGTGATCGAGCTACCATCATCAACTTTATTTTTTTAAATACGGACCTGGATTTTTTATGTCATTTTTAGAAAACGCCCTCTATGCCGTGTTTAATGATATACCTCTTAAGTATGATTGGCCGACGTTTCTGCTCTAAAAAGTGATCCTTAGTGATTTTTACAAAATTTTACCCTAATTCGGCCCTAGTTGTGAACCTGTATTTCATTAAATAAAAAGAACTTGGCAACACTGTAAACGAATCTTGAATTGGCATCAAAAAAGGCAACTTTTTTCTAATTCAACCGACCTTGTAGCTCTTAACGATTCGGATATAGCAATAGTGGTATCACTTAAAATATACATCCTGTATATATACAGTGTGTCCCGCTTAAGGACTGACCACCCTTCTAAAATTGTTATTTTTCAACCGATTCAATTAATTTTTTTTTTCTTGTAGCTACTTGAATTTGGCACTTATTAAGCTCATAATTTTATTTCTACAGCTGCCCTGGTTTACAGGGTGTCCACATTTATAGACTCAAATTTCAATAAGTACTATTAGGGATTTTTTTAGAAAAAATCTGTTAGCAGATTCTTGTTTAGAATGGTCTAAAACCCTAATGTACGAATTTTTGTTCCAGTAGGATACAGGGTGATCACAACAAGTTTTCAAAATTTAATGGACCAAACCAGAAAAATTTCATATTTTGAGGCCATGAGAACAACAAAACTTGATACAACATAGTTTTAGAACATCCTTAACCAAAACTTGTAGTAAGCTTGTCTCAAAATGTGAAATTTTTCCAGTTTGGTCCATTAAATTTTGAAAATTTGTTGTGATCACCCTGTATCCTATTGGAACAAAAATTCGTACATTAGGGTTTTAGACCATTCTAAAAAAATCCCTAATAGTACTAATTGAAATTTGAGCCTATAAATGTGGACACCCTGTAAACCAGTGCAGCCGTAGAAATAAAATTATGAGCCTAATAAGTGCCATATTCGAGTAGCTACAAGACAAAAAAAAATGAATTGAATCGGTTGTAAAATAAAAATTTTAGAAGGGTGGTCAGTCCTTAAGCGGGACATACTGTAGATAATAGATCTGCACATAAAATCTGTTTTTTGTTTAAAGATAAAAGTCAAAATGACATTATGTTGGCAATACAATGTAAAATTGTCAATCTTTCAAATTTTTTATGTAGAAAAGGCTTGTGTTGCCAACATAGTTACTAAATTTTTGACTTGGGGAATTATCTTTAAAAAAAAACAGACTTTATTTCATTGTTTGCACAATTTGACATGATTCTTTTATGTTTGACTGTTTGAGTTTGAAAGAGTGACAGAAAACATGTGATCATTATCTTGCAGCTAATTGGTTGAAAATAATGCTTTATGTTTTGTTATGTCTCTGTCTGTATAAACCCACCATAAGTAATATTGATAATTTGGTGAGTTCCAGCAAGTTCTACCATTCTACCAAACTGTTTACATATCTTATCATATGTTCTTAGCAGAGGTATACATATTCCAAAAAATAAAAACAAATCAAAGATCGGAACTACAGGCGACTATACCTTGATACCTACCTTTAGACTAATAAGGGCCGGTACTTTTGCTCTCGATTAACGAATTTGATACGTTGTCAAAGTTTTGCATGGGCCAAGGTCTATAAGTATGATGTGGTTAGAGCACATTCTAAGCCCTGATTATTTTTAAACGGCTGTCAAATGACAGCAAAAGTACCGGCACTAACTGTATAAAAAAGTGTTGACAAATGTGATGTTTTTTTTTTTTTCAATAATTTTTAATGTTAGGGAAGTTGTTTTAATTTTTTTTTTACAGTTTTCAACATTCCCCTGTAAACTTACTGGGTTATATTGTAAAGCTGTAATGTATGCCTGTACGGCCTGTTCCATGTCGCCAGCTGCCACCAGAGCAGCTGCCAGGTTGATGTAGCCATCAATAAAATCCGGTTTCAACCTGACGGCGTGCCTGTAATTGTCCAGCGCCTCTTGTAGCTGATTCCTTTCTTTGTAGACATTACCCAAATTACTAGAATAATTAAATTTTATTATAATGGAAAATTATTTGAAAAAAAATAATTACCTGTATGCTTCAGCTAATACAGGATTCTGTTTGATGGCCAAAGTGCTGAAATGTGCTGATTTTTCCAGCCGGCGGCATTGAAAATGAATGCTGGATAACAGTAATAGTACGCCAGTGTTGGCCTGATCCTGTCTCCACAGTTGCATGCAATGCCGTTCGGCATTTTCGTAGTCTCCCGCTTGGTATTCTCTGTGAGCTAGCTCTAGCAGACCTAAATGACACATAAAAGGGAATCTTAACAAATTGTACAATGTGTTCGTTTAAGGTCACGCATCTACTCTTAGATCACGTGACTCTATTGGGTTACAAAGCAATTTAATGATCCAGGAGTAGGAAGATATATGAAAGGAACAAGTGCAGCCATGTTGTCTACTAGAGAAAATGGGGCCCCCTTTTTTTTTTCAACCAATTTGATTGGAGTTTTTTTAAATCGCTAATTAATTAATCGATCACTTACCAGCAGCATTAGCGGTATTTGTCTCGTTCATTTTTATAATGATTTGTGTGGAACTTATCATAGAGCCGTCGTTTTGCAAATTCACGTTATTTACAGCGACCGATTGGCCCTGCATAATCAATCTAACGACACTCGATGCCGGTATTCGAAATTTAAATAAAAATGCAGCATAAACAGTTCTCAAAATTTCACAGACAAACTAATGAATGGAATTTTCCACTCCACTATTCTCAACACAAAATGGCTGTCCTTTTAAAGGTCTCACAATGTTGTCAAATATATTCAAAATTCTCAAAAATCATACCAATTTGATTGAAGTAATTAACAAAAAATAGCCTTATAAAAATTGTTTTGGCAACATTGAACAATGTCATTGAGGCCATCTATGATTTGCAAATATTACTATGAACAATTTATTTGTAATTTGTAAATTCTTCAAAATTGTAGTAGTATTTTGCTAAATAAATCATAATTAATAATTATTTTAGATTTAAATCCTTCCATTTAATTTGATTCAAATATTTTGTTTCTCCATTTTGCCTTGTAAGATGTCCGTAAGGTAGATTCCTGTTTTAATATCGGTTAAAAAGATTCCTTTTATTTTAAATTAAATTAAAATGCACCAAAAACCTAAAACAAAAAATAAATTGAATTTGTTAATAATTAACAACAATTTAAAGTAGTTTTTTCTAAACAAATATTCTAGTTATTAAATTATACTACGTCACTCTGTCAGAATTACCACCTGACAAACGTCAATCACCCACCAGACAGAGTTTTTTGTTGTTGATATTTCATATGCGATGGATTTCGATCCGCCTTTATTCCATATGTACTTTTCCAATTAGCGCTTATATCATTCAATTTCGAGTCAATTTTAATAAGGAAACTCGTACGATAATTATTATGACGATAACGCGAAAATTGTCGAAGGAATTCGTCCTAAAATACTCTCGAACATCAAAGGTAAAAACCTGAATACATTAAACAATGAAAAAGTAAACAAAATATTCTTGCACCAGAGAAAAATGTTAAAAGATAAATTTCAAGATAAGGTGCAAAAGGAGGATTTTGGCGAAATTAAAAAAAAAAGATAAGGAATTTATATTTGTTTTATTTTAGAATATGTAGTAATAAAATGTCCTCGACGAGTGATCATTTGAAAACCGAGGTCCAGCAGGACCATCCCTCGGACATCATGGACGAGGAACAAGTTCAATTGTCTTTGGATCCGAAATTTCAGGTTTACCTGGCTCAGATGTCCAGGGAATCGGGGTAAGAATCTGAAATTCAATCTTCATAAATGGTATAAATATTTGTATAACCTCGGTATATTTTGATATTTGAGTTATTTCAAGTATGAATGATGTTCCTGTTGTAGTTTTGAGTGAAAAAACCCTTAAATGCACATAAATCAAGGCAACAACGATTCAAGATAATTTCATCAGTTAATTAAATGTATACTCAAATTCTAGGTATCATTGAATTTTGCTGCTGCCGTTTTTAATTGTCTATGTAAACGTAGTAAATTCCTGTTATACTTCAAGCTTATCTTATTAGCAATAGATGGCGCCACTGGTTTTATCATGCATTTTGCTTATCACGTTTATGGGGTGGTTTCAAATCGATTTATGTTTTTAAAACTTTGTTCCAGAAGAAACTGTATTCGCTTAAAGGCAGGTATAGTCGTATTCACGAGAGAGTTTGAATTTTGACCGTTATTTTCACCAGTTGAAAATAAATAAAATCCCCAGATCTGTCCCTTTTTCTGATAACTATCAAATAATGATACATGACATTTTGATTTGACACATAAAAATAACAGATTCGGGTCTTTGAATTTTGAATTTCGAATTTTTGTGTGAAATCTTTCAGTTTTTTGCCGTTTACTGCATTATTTTTTTATTTGTTATTATCACAATCGGTTTTTTGGTTTTTTATGTAGTGTTCTGTCCCTTTGTGTTTCGGTGTTGCGTTTCAAACCTGGTTTTAGTTTGGATTTAAGTGTTGGACCCTAATTTTAGGATTTTTGGATTTTAATCACTTAACTTCCTTTAAAGAAATTGAAAATAAATTTTTATTTCAAACTAATAGAAGAAAAACTTAATCCATCAGCACTTGAAATAGGAATAAAAAAGGTGAGAAGCACAAAAGAGGGAGATGTCATAATCAAATGTCCCACTAAACTTGAAGGAGAAAAATTGAAAACAGCCCAGACCTTATGAAGTATCTATGATAAATGAGCTTGCTGACACATGCACAATAGAAACAATTAAAAAGAGACCTACAAGAATAAAGATCACTGGAGTAGATAAGGAGGAAAATAAAAATCACCAAGAAGTTGAAAGAAATCTTAGAAAACAGAATACATGGATTAATGAAGAGGATGAACTAACAGTCACATTTATAAAACACATGAAAAAAAATGATAATCTGACAATCTATGTTGAGTGCTCAGCTGGCTTATACCACAAAGCAATAGGTCAGAAGAAAGTATACTTAGGTTGGCAAAGGTACTCAATATATGAAGACCTAAGTATACAGAGATGTTTTGCCTGTCAAGGATTCTTCCACAAAAACATTAACTGTGATAAACCTATAGCATGTGCAAATTGTAGTGGAGAGCATGATGTTAATGCATGTAAATCGAATACAAAAAAGTGCAAAAACTGTTCAACAGCAAATAGAAACTACTCCATCAACTACGACACTAATCACTCTGCAAATGATATCAGTTGCCCTTCCTACCAATACCATATGAACTGTCTAAGAAATAAAATAGATTACGGTTCATAATGGTTCAAACAGACCAAGAAATAATACTAGATGACCTTGAAAGAATTGTGATGGAAAGTATAGGACAACTGATTGAACTGGAGACATTACATAAAAATATACATGAAACTAAGAAAAAACTAAATATTCTCCAATTAAATATTAGAAGTGCCAAGGAAAACTTTGATAAATTCCTGCTGCTGATTAAACAAGGTAAACTAACTTACTGTGATATTTTTATTCTAACTGAAAGCTTTAAAATCTCTACTCCAGAACTTTTTAATATCGATGGGTACAATACTTACTATAATTATGGCGATTATAACAAGAATGATGGAATACTCATTCTAATTAGAACAAATATAAATCCTATTGTTTCTCACCAAAAAGTCGAAAAATCAGAAATAATGATAAGTAGAATTACTTTTAAACTAAATGGAGAGACTTATGGAATAACAGCGATTTATAAATCCCCTCAAGTAAATAACGGTAATTTCTTTCAGGATCTGAATGAATATTTCTCCAATAATACAAACAATAATATTGAAATCTTCACAGGTGACATTAACATAAACATCAAGGCTATAAATGATGCAACTGTTAATGAATATTTATGTCTCATGGGAAATTATGGCTTCTTGCCTTATATACAATCAACAACAAGATATAATACAAATTCCTGTATTGATCATTTTTTTATAAACAATAAAACACAACACCTTAACATGGACTCATATATCTTAGATACCTATATAACAGATCACTATCCAATAATGATACACATACATAATAACTCAGAAGATAACAAAATGACTAGCAAGCAAACAACAACAATAAGCCGAATTAACTATGACCTTCTTCAAGAATGCCTAACAACCTGCGATTGGACTGAGGTACTTCAGTCGAATAACCCTGACACCTCTGTTGACATTTTCGTGACAATGATTCTTGACTGCATTGAGAAGTCCAAAACTACTAAAACTATAAAACAAGCGCACAAAAAATGTAAAGAATGGATAACCAACGGACTCATAACATCAATAAAGAAAAGAGATAAAATAAAAAAGAAATTAATAAAAAATTATGACCCTGACTTGGAACAATATTATAAAAATTATAGAAATAGCTTAAACAAATTAATTAAGAAAGTAAAATATGACTTCTATAAGAAAGAAATAGTAGGTAGCAATAATAATATCAGAAAAATTTTCCAAATAATAAATAAAGTGACAGGAACTAATGCCATTAAAACACAAACAAAAAAAATTTTAAATGAAAAAAATGAAGAATTCGAAAATAATATTGACATGGCTAATTTCTGCAACAACCATTACATAAATGTTGGTGCTGAACTAGAGAAGCAAATAAAAATTCCAGAGCGACCTTATCGTTTGGATTTCTCAGATAATGTGAACGCGTCCATGTATTTGAGACCGATAACAGACTCAGAACTCATTAAACATATTTCATCCCTAAAATCAAATAGTGCCCCTGGTATGGATGGAATTTCCAGTGAATTAATAAAACTCATACATCCACATATAATCACACCTTTAAAACACATCATAAATCTAATATTTGAAAGGGGTACTATTCCACATCATTTCAAAACCTCCCTAATAACACCAATCTACAAGAATGGTCAAATCAATAGAATAGAAAATTATCGACCCATCAGCCTCATTAATAACTTGACAAAAATTTTTGAAAAGGCACTAAAGGACAGACTGGTAAATTTTTTAAAAATAAATAACATCCTATCTAATAAACAGTATGGGTTCACAGAGGGAATCAGTACCTCTGATGCTATTCAGCATCTTACATCAGAAATAACGAAGAGTATGGACAATAGTGAAAAGACAATAGTAGTATTTATGGACCTCGCTAAGGCCTTCGATACAGTGCCTCATAAACAACTTCTCAGCGTCCTGGAACATTATGGAGTAAGGGGAATGGACCTTGATGTCTTCCGCAGCTACCTCTCAAACCGATACCAGCACACGAAAGTAGACAACACTATAAGTTCGCCACAAATAATAAAAACGGGAGTTCCCCAAGGAACCATACTGGGGCCAATACTGTTTCTAACCTATATAAACTCACTCCTAAATATACAACTGGAAGGGGAGGTAATTTCATATGCAGACGACACAGCATTGATCTTTAAGGGGGCGTCCTGGGAGGAAACCAGGCAGAAAGTCATCAGGGGATTCAACATTGTTAAAAACTGGCTGGAAAGCTTCAAGCTCTCATTGAACCTACAGAAAACAAACTACATTGCATTTTCCCCAGTAAATAAAAATAGACCAAACTTTGAAAAAATTTTCATAAATAAAAATGAATCTATTGATTCTTGTGGAAAAATGAAATATTTGGGGATTGTGATCGACCAACACCTTAAATGGACACATCATATCAGCCATGTTGTATCAAAGGTCAGAAAACTTATATATAAATTTTACATTTTACGCGAAATCCTTGATGAGAAGCTATCAATATTGATCTATAAATCACTAGTTGAATCATTGTTACGTTATGGTATTACAGCATGGGGTGCTGCTTACAAAACTACCTTAATACCTTTACAAGTTGTTCAAAATTATGTATTGAAAGTTATCTTCAACAAAAATAAACTCTACCCCACAAAACAATTATATAACGAAAATATTTTTAATATTCAGCAACTGTATATTTTGTCAACTTGCGTTTACATGTACAAAAATAATAAATCAAAATTACTTATAGCTCATAAGCATAATACACGTAATAAAACGAATAAAAACGTAACTATACAAAAGAGCCAAAAGACATTGAGTCTTAAGTTTCTACAAAACTGTGCTTCAAAATTCTACAACCTATTGCCATTGAAAATTAAGGATATACCTAGTCTTAAAGAATTCAAAAAAAGTTGTAAAGAATATATATTTAAGAATTACAAAAGTTTTCAAAATCAGTGTATTTAGGGATAACTATAAGATGTTTCACCTACAGTCTACAAAATCTTTAAACTGTTTAAACCTGCCCTTATCTCTAATGAATTAGGGTACTGCTAGGCCAAAATTTTATACATGATACCTCATTCATTATCATTATCAACTACTTATACCTACCATTAAACGTGGCACATGCAGGCATTCTCATGCCTAGGTGCCATAATAAAAAATTATTAGATTATAGAAATATTACTGTGAATTGTACTGTTGTTATGTATGCTGAAATATTGAATAAATTATTATATTATATTATTATATTGAAATGTATATCACTTTTCTAAATACGACTCTGTCGTTTATCCCAGCTGACGGAATCGAAGCGCTAACACATGCTGACAACCTAAAGAAAAAGTTTACTAAAAATGTCAACGCGAACTGTCAACTTCACTTTCTATCGTGATTTAGTCTATATTTGTAGAACTTTTTTGACTGATAACTAAGAATTAACTTCTGGATATGAGAAATAACGTCATTCCCTCAGTCATTCCAGGAGTTAACTCTTAGTTA